TCAACACGGAAACGACTCAACACGGAAATGCCTCAAAAAAACAGAATCATAAAACTAATTTAATGTCGTCTTCTCTCAACTTAAAATTAAAAAGACTATATTCTACTGATTTTCACAGCCATGGCCGCAGCGCTCGGTCTCCTAGCCTGTTCTAGCCGTAGCGCACGGCCCCCTAGCCTGTCCTAGTCTCAGCGCTCGGCCCCCTTATAGCCATCCTAGCCGCAGCGCTCGGCCCCCTTTGTAGCCTGCGGCGCAACCTAACTTACCCTAAATTAATGGTAAAATAATTGTTAAATTTTTTTTAATGTTAGAAGACGACATTAAATTAGTTTTATGATTCTGTTTTTTTGAGGCATTTCCGTGTTGAGTCGTTTCCGTGTTGAGGGGTTTCCATGTCACCAATATGGACACTGTTGATGTATGTGGAGGTATCAGGTCAAAAAAATGTTGATCGCCATACATTAAATATGGCAGTTAGAAGTTTGATGCCCCTTGAAAACTCCCAGCTACGTGCCTGCCACCAACCCCTTCTAAAAGTCCGATTAAAATTTAAGAACGTCGAAAGCGACGGTCGAATTGTCCGCCCCGCCGCGAAAGACCAGGTAGAAAACACTCCTGTTAGTTCTCTTACTTCTCTGATAATGTCCGGTTATAGTTAACGCACACGATTATAGTTCGTAAAGTCGTGCCAGTACACTATTCTCCAAAACCGGTTTCGTTTCTCAGCTGATCCCTCCACAGTCTCAGCCAAAGAATCAGCTGTTTATTACGAAATTATGTTTACAGTGAGTTACCTGAAAGTTATAAAAGTAACACTGGATACAAAATAGCGTATTTTTAACAGATTTGAATAGTTCTGGGCCTGTGAGCAGGAGCTCACTGAATTGTAATAAATTTGTCGAAATTCTGATTATCTTCTGATTTTCAGCAGAGCGTATATTGAATCTTATCAAAATCATATATATTTGATTTTTAAAATTCAAATGACACTTCGTTTTTTTTCAATCAGATTAGATGACAGGCGTTTTTTCAGTCCGGGTCCGTCTTAGTATACGATTTTTGGACCCCCCTCCCCCTCCTATCGTACATAGATATCATATCATATGTAAGACAATTTTTGAGCCAGCTAAGACTCTGAACATGCTGATTTTTTNCCTAAGACCGAGCGGTGCGGCTAGGTCAGGCTTGAGGGCCGAGCGCCGCATCTAGGACAGGCTAGGGGCCGAGCGCCGCGGCAAGGACAGACAAGTGGGCCGGGCGTTGCGGCCACATGGTTAATTATATCCATGTCTTACATTTAAGATCCATGTTAAAAATTAATAGGAGGGGTGGGTCCAAAAATATGAAATTCCCCTGTATTCATCGCTTTAAGTTAATATTACTAATATTCTTACGGTGAATTTATACTTTACTTTAAGTTAAGTTAATGTTTAGTTTATAATACAATTATATGGTTTATAAAGCACATATTAGGGAATAACCAAAAAGTTTCGTAAGAAATGTTATTCTAATGACAAGCTTTTTTTAGATTTAGTTCTAGAATGGTGGGGAAGAAGGGAGGATGTACTATTCACTGGTTCAGGAAGGGGTTAAGACTTCACGATAACGCAGGTAAAGACTACCCTTCCCCCACGCACTCTCTCACAGACTCACAGTGCATGAGGGTACAAACCTCCCCCCCCCCC